TTTAGAATATTTTTCTAATTTTCACTCTGATGATGCGTTAAATGAGTTGTTGACCGTTTATTTTGGAAACTGCAACGAACGCTACGAAAAAATTTTGGACGTTAGTTGGAGCCGACGGTTCTGAACTACTGCAATAATAGTAAACGATGTTTGAAAGTTTATATACTGAGTAAGAAACCGAAAAACTTTTGGTCGGAACAGCATTATATTATTTAGGACTGTTTTTCTGCTTTTGTTACAGTGTTATTTTTCTATTTTTGGTGTTATAGGAAAGCTGTTGCAAAAATTTCAATTTAAAATTGTTTCCATTTATATATTTGTCTAACAGCAGCAGTTCTCACAGTTGTACCACTTGGGGACGGGGGAAAACTGAGTCTTTTGTTTTGTATCGTCATTTTATTTGCACTTAATAGCAAAAATTTAAACTTTTTGAAGTTTCAACTTTCTTGGAAGAAACTGTTATTCGAAAGCTTTTTGTATGGAATTTTTGCAAAGGGTAAACTTTCCTAATTGGTAGCTGTGTTGATATATGGTAATTAATGCAAAGAATTTGTAAGTTTTTTTCATCTCTCAGAACGCGTGACTTTGACGAATCATTTTAAATGTTTCTTCCTTTATGTCTTGAAGTTCTCGGTTTTTTCTTTCATCTTAATAGGCATTTGAACGGTAGTGTCTTTCAAAATTAGTTATATTTTTGACAAGTTTTCCAGTCTGATGGTGTTAGTTAAATATTTTTTTTTGTATTTGTTCATGGTGAGAGTTTATCTTTCGCTATAATATAGATATTCATTCTATAATTTTGGACTTGATGTTTAGGGATCTTTTTTATGATATTCAATGGTAATGTACATTGTGACTCCGCCCACTGATTTCGACTACTTTAATAGTAGCTAATTTTAGCACGTTTTCAGTTTGAAGATTCGTATCTTCATCGTCACCACTCATCGTTCTCGCCAAATAAAAAGTCAGTTATACAAGCGAGAAGTAGTTCTGTGGTTACTAACGCAATGACTGCAATCACGGAAAGTTACGTTGAAACTCTTCCTGTTACCACTTCAGATGCAAGTAGCAGGTATTTTTTTCTTTTATATCAATAATCGCAAGATGGTTTATGTATGTCTAGCTGTAAAGTTTTTATGAAAAACTGTAGTAACATTGCCTTGCTGTGGTATAAATGTAAATACTTTTTAGTTATTGTAAAGTTACATCATCATCTGATGACTACTTGGATGTTTGGAAGTTGAGAGGTGGATTCAATGCTGGTGAGGATTACATTTTTAAGAACAGCATCAATTATCTCAATTAATTTTGCTTTATAAATTAAAGGTGGGTGGAAAAATAGCGCCGAAAAATATTTTTCTTTCCGAAGACGTGAGTGTTACAATAATGTCCTCAATACCTTTGTGAAACATCTGGATGAAGCGATGGAAGTAATAGATGAAGTCCTGGATAAATATCCGTAAATTTTATTTTTTGTTAGTAAAAAATGGTTTATTTTGATTCTACTGAGAAGCTGTGAAGGCTCATTTTTTTTGTCGTATAGAAGTGTTATAATCTTCTTCATCTTTTTGTTTGCAGATTAAAGAATATAGCAATATCATTCAATGGCGGGAAAGATTGCACAATTTTGCTGCATCTTTTACGGGTGAAAATTGATGAGTATGTTTTTTAATATTTTCATTACCTTGCTTTTTTTTTAATTTATTGCTTACAGTTTTGGAAAGTTCCTTTCCATTTTTTAAGTTATTTTTGGAAAGTCGAAGTCATCAGAGTTTAGTTGGGCAATTTAGAAGCCATTTTTTGTCTGAGAGTTAGGAGTAATTCTAGTGTAGGCCTCTCGCCGAGACAAAAAGTTAAGAGAGCTGAAGTTACTGTGAAATGTATTTCTAGAATTTTGTGATTTCTACGTGGGTGATTAATTGCGAGAGCTGATTTAAAAGATATGTAGGGGGCAAGGTTATAAAGCGGGGCTTATAAGCAGGATGAGATTGTTGTCGGTGGGGATCGCCTTTTTTGAGCTTTATAATAGTTAATTTCTTGGGGGAAACACTTTTCTTTTTGCTTAAGCTCGTGCTTGTTTTCTTTTGCTGCTCACTGTGTTAATCGCGAAATGTTTTATGCTTATATTCATTGAAATATTAGTCCCGAACATTGAGCAGTAGTTTTTTGCAGTTTTAAAAATGTTGATGCAATTTTTTGTACATTTTCAGAATTTCTTTAGTTGCTTATGCCTTCGTTTCATCTTTAAATCCTAATTGATTGTTGCTGTGAAGTGCTGTAAAAATCCGCGCATTAGAGAGTTTTTAGGGTCAAAGCTTGCATGTTTTGCTGGAAGCAGTTTTGCATTGTTTGAATTCATTTCAGGTTTGGAAAAGATGCAGTTTTATTTTGGGATATAAGTTGTGCAAGTTAATGTTTTTTGGTTTTTCTGCTGCTTCTAAATCTTTGTTTTCGCCATCTTGTGGGGGGAAAGGGTTAAGGTGTTTAGGTTAGAAGAGCCCCGTTCTGCTTTCGTCTACTTTTTATTTTTCTTACTTGCTTTTGTATCTCTTTGTTTGCTAAACAAATGCAGAGGGCTGTACAAGGAAGTCTTGCTCCTAACTGAGAAGTTTTTTTGAACGGTCATGATCTCTACTGTTTTGTAATACAATTTACTAAAATTTTTAGAAGGTTTGGTCTGGACAGAAAAATTCAAGGAGTGCATATTGACTGCGGTGATTCGTTTTCTGAAATCAAAGCTTTTATTAATGAAGCTTGTGAAAAGCAAGTTTTTAATTCTTTTAAAAAATTAAACAACTTGGCAAGTACAATTGCCACTTGTTATATTTAATGTTTTGAACTGATCACTTTAAGCACTGGTATTAAGTGAAGATGTTTGTAGGTATCGAGTGGATCTCTACGAATATCCGGGACCATTAAAAGAAGGGTTGCAAAAGGTAAAAGAAGAAAGACCTGAAATATCAGTAATATTTATGGGTAGCCGGTCTACTGATCCTCATGGTATTCATATGAAATCGAAAAAGCTGTGGACAGATGCTGGTTGGCCGAAGTTTTTGAGGTAGACTTTTTTCAAATGTCAGCATATTTGGAACATAAATAGGTTTTTATTTTTCATTTTATTACTATATTTTTTGAGCTGCCTTTTGGATATTTCTCAATTGTACCACTTTTATATATAAAATTTTTCACTTTAGCATTCTCTACGTTTGATAATTGTTTTTTGATCTAAGGATTTTCCCGATTTTGGATTGGACGTACGAAGATGTTTGGCGAGCTTTGCGAGGCTTAAATGTGCCGTACTGCTCTCTGTATGACGAAGGGTACACGTCTTTGGGAGATAGGAGTACAACTAGTAAGAACGATGCACTGAAAGTTGTTGACAGTAGCGGGAATATAGTGGGATACCGACCTGCTTATGAGCTTCGTAGTAGTGGTTATGAAAGGTTAGGAAGAAAGGCACGTAATGATGAGTGAATATCAGTAGCTTGTACATATTAGGTAGATTTACGGAAATACTTTTTGCAATGATGTTCTTGTATCTCCTACTTATAAACAGCTACCGAGGATGATGTTTTGGAACGATTTGCATATGCAGAGAATTAATCTTCTTGGTAAAGTTACTTTTTGTTGGAAATGTTTAGTTTAATTAAAAAATAGTTATGTATTTTGCCCAGGTAGGAGTAAGATTGTGATTATGTAGTGTTGCGTTTTTTGAAAGCTGTAATTTTGAAACTTTGTTTATTAAGACTTTCTGAATTTTGTATGAAGCATTATATGTAATTATAAGAAACTGAAGTCTTCTTTAAAGGATGTGATTATGCAATTTGTCATAATTGAATTTTGATGGAAGAATCTTTTGAATTTTGTTTTTGCGAAAGAATGAAATACTCATTTATCGAACATAAGAGAATGCTGTTTATATGTCAAATTTTCTGTGATTACCGTAACGTTTTGCCTTAAAATTGTTGACTCAGTTTTTGCATCTCCGAATAAGTATTTGTTGCCTGTCATGTTGTTAAAGTGACGACGTTGTTTTTTAATTTAGTCTCATAGTTAAGAGTTGTTGAAACATATCTTTTGGCATTTTGAGCTTGCAGTTTCTTGCTGTTTTCGATGTTTAGTTCTATTAGGTGTTACTTTCTCAACTCTCATAAGTGTTTTGTAGTTTCGCTTTATAGAAGAAAAGTTTATAAAAGTTTTGAGTTACTTCATTTTCATTTGAGCGGACTGTTCTTGGTTAAAGACTGTACATTTTTTGTAAACTTTCGTGGTAGTATTTTGAATATTTTGCAGGAACGATGGTAGTAAATAAAATTTTTAGCTCTGTGTAATGGTTAAATATGTTAATGTGAAGTGGCTTTTTAGAGAAAGCGATAGCAGAGCGAGAGTAGATGAGGCTCCAAGACAAGTTTCGTTGTTTCAAGGAAGGTCTGATGGTGACTGCAAAAAGCTCGTCGGTAATTCGTCTAGAAGTCACTACGTTTATATGTTAGCGGAGTTTAGTGGCTGTTTACATTTTCCATTAATTCTAAGGGCAATAGATTATGCTGGCTTGAAAATAGCAGACAGGAACAGTCGGTGGCTTGATGAAGTCTAGTGGAGTGGAAGCTGTTCTGAAGGTAGTTGTATGAATAAATGACTGTTTGGGAAGTAAAGCAACTATTCGTCCAAGTAAATAGCATAGTGGTGGGAAATTCTGGTAATAGGTGGCAAGAAGCTTATTGTGAAACTTGAAGACTGACATTTGGCGTTGAGATTTGGAAGTCGAAATACGTTAGAAAGGGATGTAGTTAGGAATCAAAATTACTGGACTCAAATTCGCAGCGGTATGGAGATGGCTGAGAAGATTAATCGAAAGGATGCTTTTATTCGTACTCTACGTATATCATGATGAATCATAAGTATATTTTTACTTTGATCTTGGAGCTTGTTTGCTGTGGAAAAGGTGAAATTTATAATATGTTGGTGCGACTTTAAGGCTTGGTAAAAGTTAGTCAGATTTAAGTAGAGCTATCTGAAATCTCTTGATTTTTTAATTAATGGCTTTGTTTATGTTGGTCAGAAACTCAATTCTTCCGCTAAATTTCCTCACAGCTTTTATGGAAGCGCAAGCAATTTTTAAAACAACAGATATATCATATTACTGATGCAGTTTAGGATGCAACTTTTCATTTCTGTAATTTAGTAATTATCTTCCTGTAATATTTTTATTCAAACACTTTTGATTTTTGTTAAAGTTTACTGATATTATCACTTTACACAATAAAATTGTTAAACAGCAGTAAAAACCGTTGCTTGGCTGAAACTTTGTCATAAATGCCTTAATAAACATTTGATGAGTGGGTTTGATGGTTGACAAAAAAAAAGAACGGAAATATTTTGGGAATTAATGTTTTAAATTTTAGTCGTCTATAATGATTCCTGATTCGACAAAATTT